CTCACCCACTCAGCGACCTCCTCGTTCACTCTCTCCTCCCGCGACCTTCACCATGTACTCACACTCATGTTACACAAAATAACCACACTCTCTCACGGATCTCTCTCACTCTCCAACGTCTTTATTCTCTCTCTTCCCGCAGCCTCCTCCGTGAGCACCTCTACGATTCCACCTGCCATCCACAACTGCTTGTCTCTACCCCGTAGTCTATTGCTCTACATGCTAAACAGAACCTAGAATTCTCAACTTAAGATCACATATTCGAAATCACTCCACACCTATACAAGAACTCAAAATTTACCGTACCTCTCGTCTCCATTTTCCTCCTTCCCTTGGCTTGCTCCGTCACCGTCCTCTGCTCCTCCTCTCTCTCTCTTCTTGCTCCTCTTCGCTCCGGCTCTTCTCTCTCTCTCTCTCTCTCGAACCTTTTCTTTCCCTTGATCTCTCTTCTCTCTTTTCTTTCCTTTCCTCCCTTTTTTCTTTCCTCTTTTCTCTTTTCTTTTCTTTCCTCCCTTTTTTTCTTTTCCTCTTTTCTCTTTTCTTTTCTTTCCTCTCTTTCTGCCCGTCCATCTCAAAACGACGTCGTTTCTTTTTTTTTTTCCAGTTACTACAATATATCACCAATATAGGGCACATATGAATATTATATGTACATATATATATTTCTGTTTATGAAATCTTCTTACTTTAATGCTATTTGTGGATCACAAAATTATTTAGAAGATTGGTTGTGACAATATGCCCAAGTAGCTTGCACTTCAATATTTATACTAAATTTTTTTTTATTTTTTATGTAAAAAATAAATATTTTTATATTGCTTATATCTAAAATTATTTTTATTTTCTTAGATACTATACTTATTATTTAAGAAATAATAAAATAGTCATCTTATAGATAAAATAGTCATGTAAAATAGTCATTTTATAGATAAAATACTATAAAATATTTTATAATATATTTTTTATAAATATTTATTTTTACAATAATTATTTATTAAATTATTTTTTAATTGAGATTACATTATTTTAAATAACTAAATTGAATACATATTTGTCATTAGTACATTAATTTTAACCGTTTAGTAGTGTACCATATGGTGTTTGCAAATAATCTTAATTAATTATAATTTTCTCTTTACTTTTTGGTTTTTTAAAAAAAATATAAAACATTGATATTACATCAAATCTTACATATTGATACTTATTCTACTTTCATTGATAATTTAATTAGAATTTTAAATTATATATTTTATTAGTTAATATAAAAGATTCTGTCAAGTTATTTGTCAGAATTGTTAATATTACATCAAAAATCTAATTATTATACAAAAATATGAACCCTCTATGCATGTTTTTATAAAATTAAAAGAATTTGTATATAATATAGTATTTTTATTACTAATTTGATTAAAAATTTACTTTATATTTTGTAAAAGCCCAAATCCCATATATTCCATGCGTATAACTCAAATATGGTGAAATAAACAATACTGAAATTTATAATTTAGTAGAAACAATCTGAGTTTAAGATTATATTTTTTGCACAGTTTACTTAAAATATCTAATATGGCTACGGGAATGCCTTTAAAACTTTAATGAGAAAAGTATAGGAGAAAACAAATATGATTAACCTATACTCGAAACTGACGAAATGGAAGAGACAATCTTATAACTAGTTTTTTACTGTTCAGGATCCGGGTTTTAGTCATTCTGATATAAAATAGTTAATAATAAAAGAGTGAGTTACACTAGCTCAATAAGAATATCAACATCTTACCACTAATACAGAAAATTAAAGAGTTGTAAAAAATATTATACAAACAATAAAGCCCAATTTTAATAAAACTCGAATGTTAGTGTAATTATTATTCGTTTGACTGAAAACATTAATATTTTCTCAACTCACCTATAAATTCTTAAATGTCACAATACGCATTTTAAAAGATATATAACAATTAACCCTACGTTATTTTTCAAAACTAGATTCCTTACCATATTCATCTCCGTCATTTTACCTTTCCTACTGGTGTCGTTGGGGGTCCATAGGAATCCTCACTACATGTGGACACGAATATTTTCTTTATAATTAAACGATCGTCCCCATATCCTGTTCGGTAATGGGTGCCAAAACACATAACCACATCAATACCATGTCCATTATAAGTGTAATTAAACCAATTCCCAACCTCATCCGGTATGAGATTTTTCAGTCCCGTACGACTGAGGGTAATGTCTATGGTAGGGTTCACCCCACGCATTAAATCCATACACTCTTTTCCAAGATACTCGATTAGTCCCTTACATTCAACACCATTATTTCACACATCTCTTTTTTTTTTTATTTACTATTTAGTCCTAAAAGATACATCTATATTTTAAACAATACATAAGTACGGAACTCATATTTTAGATGTGAAATATGTTTGCATTATATCGATAAAAACGTATCATACAATAATAGAATGACATGACAATATAGATAAAAAAACCTTATCACGTTAGCCATAGATTTAAAGTGAATAAATTAAAGTAAGCAAAACAGTAAATAAATAAGTATAATAAACGACTAAAGAAATAACTACTGCAAATAAATTTCAAAATAGGTATAGACTAACCGGTTACTTGCTCCATTGGCAACCTGTACTTAATTAATTAAAGAACTACTAATTAACTAAATTTTTTTATTTATTATCAGTTTGGCTTCAATTTAATCGTAATAGAGAAAAAAGGTGAGAGATTCCTACCCTGGGTTGGTATCCAAAACACTGTATTTTTCACTACGGTCCCTAACAATTTTTTTATTCTTGGATTTCTTAGATTTTCCTGCTAAGATCAAAACATATGTCAAAATAACATGAAAATATGCGAGAAACGGCCAAAAAAGACAAAAATCTCATTGGGGGTTTGGGTTGAGGTTATGGCACAGTGCCGCCGCTGCGCTCTGTCACCTGGTCCTCCCTCTTCGGCGGCTCTTCCTCTCAGTTAGGCCAGTTTCAGCCAGATCTTGGTGAAAATCTGTTTAAATCATGGTTAGGAGGGGTCTATTGGCGAAAAAAGGGAAAAATCGAAGCTTACCAGCATTTTTGGCCTTCTAGTGCAACGACTCAGCCGAGCTCTGTAGTTCCTTCCCCGCGAGTTACGGTTGTTTTCGGTTATTCTGCATTAAAAATGTGTTAGGCAGCTAGAGGACAAAGAAACGGGAAGAACGGGAAGAAAAATCGTACTCATTAGCGTGTTTTGAGTCTCTTGTGCAGCAGCACCAACGTCTTCTAGTGGTTGGGCTTCTCCTTCGATTGCCTTTCTTCTTCTTCTCCAACGAGGTACGTTTGGCTAGGGTTAGGGTTTTGATTGGAAGAGACGCTT